GCAGTAATTTGGTCAGAAATATCTCAATCTCCAATAGCTAATAGGAAATAGAAAAGCTCTGTACAGGACTGAGCTTACAATGAAAACTACAATCTATCCATTTAAACAGAGCATACATATTAGAGCAATTTGCCTCCTCCACCTCCTCTGAAATGTTTATTTCCCATCTTCTTCAAATGAGCAGGAAGGGAATGAAGACTGAGTAAAACAGGAAGGGAGGAGAGAAAAAGACAAGGTTTCTAAAGGTAATGTGTAGACCAAGGGAGGGTGTCAAGTTGTTCACAGTGAAAAACAAAACAAAACGCCAGAACTGACCATCAGACTGGGTCCTAATTATCACCCAATTAACACATTCTCTCCTTAGACAAAAGTCCAAATGAAAAACCAAATTATAACCAAAAGACAAGTATATTCTCAGAAGTCCCAAATGATTAAGAATTTTCAATCATGAGACCTCAGGCTTCACTATAGGGACACAACTGCCAATAAGTTGACTATTAGTGTTGGCTGACAAGGCAGTCTCCTCTGAGTGACACCAAAGTAAAGTGACTCATTCCTGCTCTTCTGAACCCCTTCTTTCTACCTTCATGCCGACCATTACCTTCATATTATTGGGTTGTTGGAAAAGTCATGACGTATTTTTTCTGTTTTTCATTGCAAAAATGCATCATGACTTTTCCAACAGCCCAATAAAAATATCGTTATTTGTTCAGACTGGCCATAAAACAACTATTTCAGTTTTAGCTCTCTTTTATAAAATGTGTTCACGACCCCTACCCTATCTCAACTCCTGAGTCAAATAGCCTTGACAATATTTAGGCCACTCACCTGTTGATTACAACTAGCTTCATTCAGACACTAACTGTAGGTGCAATTCAAAGAGCACCATGGATCAATCTCCTAAATACTGACATATAAGTAGTGGAATAACTTCCTTTTACGGAATTTCATGAAATTAAATAAGAATCAAATGAATAAATGTAGTAGAAGCACATTACTCTCTGAAGACTACATAACACCTTACACTGCATTCAAGAGTGATGAAGATGACCACTGTTAACACCAACGTCTGCAGAGAATCACAAAACCAGAACCCAGAACTCCTTTAAGAAATCTATTCAAGTAAATAGCAAAAAATCATGACACTTTCCTAGTCTTTTCTGAAACAGGTCCAAATTAGTTCTATAATTTTCCTCTATAGCACACTCAAGCAATTGTTATACTCAGGATGGTTAAGATTTTCTTATAACCAAGATCCTTCCTAGATAAGCCCTTTCAAGGTTAAGTTACATTCAGACAAACTAAACATTTAACTCAAACGGGAGTTCTTTAAATGACTTTTCATCCAAAATGACTGCTTCACAGTAAATAAGGAAAAAAAATGTCAGAGGCTCTCCCTTGCTCTTTTTATTAATAATTTTAAAGTTATATTGGGATTACTTCTCATTTTCAAAACTAATTTTAAAATTATTTAAAATGTACAATACATAGCATACAAAAATTAAACATGTACACATATCGGTAATTTTTTAACAACAAAACAGTTCATGTATAAAAGTTTAAATTACATTTTGCAGATAGTTTTTTAAAAGGCAGATCTAGGAACTAAAAAAAGTAACCTGCACTCCTGAATTCATCCATATCAAAGGGACAAACTAACATAACAGCGTTGACTCTTTCTATAGATTTTTACTTCTAGAAAAGAATACAAAATTGATCCACTGAGTAAATTAGCAAACTATATAGTCTGTTTGCCAGTTTATAAATGACAAGACAAACTAACTATGCAACCCACCACCTTAAAGTTTCTCATGTTAATTCTACACATACTGCATTTTTAGAAAAGGCATGTTTTGTACATTCTGTGTTGATAAGAAAGATCCTTAAAACTATTTAATTAAAATGAAGCAAATCATATATCTTGTTGACAATTCTCTTTCACTAATGAATGACTAAGAGACTAGATACCTATCCACTTCTTAACGTGGAAAGGGTGCCCCTCTTTTTTCATCTGGCTAACTCTTATCTTTCAGGTCTCAGCTGTTGCTTTTTCCAGAGGCCTTTCCCAATTCCAGGCTAGATGCCCTAGTTGTATACCCCTGATGGCACTTTACACTTCCACCAACAAAGCATTTAAATATACTGTATTGTAACTGGCACAAGTAGGTGCTCAAATATTTGTCAATGAAGGAGTCAAATGTAAAGTTGTCAGAATAGCCTCCCAAGTGGTGGAGAAGTGAACCCTTCAGATTAGGCTGCAGCTGTAAATAAGGGGTGGAGGTGGGAGCAGAGAGGTAGGAGGGCTATGGGTAGAAGAGTACACTCCCTTGTGAAGGAGAAAAGCTTTGCAAGAGCTTCTAAAAGAGGTATGACAGTGAAACAGAACAGTAAGACTAAGAAAGACTATAGGCTGACTCACACCAATCTAGTTACTTTTATTATGATACACATAATTGTTTTTAAAATTAGAGAAATCAATTTTAAGAAAAAGGATACATATTTTATATTAAAAAGTTACTTAAAATAATGATTTATAAAGTGGAAAAATCTCACCTGTCATGGGATCAAAGAGCTGATTAGCTTCTAAGTCTGTAAAAGTATTACTACAGACAGGACATTTGAAGGAAGCCCGGTTGGTGGAATCTCTCTCATCCGTTTCGATCCTCCTTCTCATGTGGTCCAACTTGTATTTTACCACATTAACAAGAGTTCGATAATTGATAAAGTAGTAGTTATGGCGAGTGGTTTTCCCATCTGCAGCAGTCTCTACCCTCATTCTGCATTTGATGAACTTGTCTCCTTTTAAATTATTCAAAACTGATCGAAGTTGCTTCCGATCAAACTTGAGCAGCTCCAGCATATCCTCCTCTTTCACACAAGGGTTCCGGATCAAGATGTCCAAGGCCAATGCATGCTCAATGCCATAAAACCCCCGGATCACATACTTGGCTAACCTCTTCAACGCTGCAGGGACCTCGGTGAGGACATCTGGGTCTGCCATCTTTAGCAGCAAGCTTCAACTTTAAATGTACTGAAGTCAGAAAAAAAAAGAGAAGATTATCTAGGCATAATAAGGACATAGTAATAATTTTAAATCTAGAATAATCAACACATTAGGTAGCTACCACTATTCTTGGAGTGCCACAAACATACTCAAAACATGTTTTAAAAGATTTATAATACCTAAGCATTTAACAGAGAACAAAATTTTCCTCTAGAGTACACAAAAGATTACACCTAAAAAGCCTGACATATTTCTTAAATGGTTATTTTCATGATCTACAGTGTGCTTGATTCCAAAAATTAACTTATTACTTATAGCAATGATACATTATATTAAGCCCACTTTATTTCAGAAAGAGAAACAAAAAAGCTAAATGAAGTCTCACTATTCTCAATGCTACAAGTCTTTAGGAATGCTGGAAACCACCAACCCCGCCCCCCAAGAAGCCTACCAGTTAGCATATCCTTAAGAGTGTCTTTATTTCTTGAGTAAAATTTTTCTACCAAAACAGATTCTAGAATGTTTTGCATAGTCATGCTCTCACAATAAAATCACAACAAACCAATAAACACATAAGTAATCACCAGTTGGGATATTTGGCAAAATTACTGTTATAAATATCAAAGAATTTAACACTCAGATCCAGACAGCTTTACCAACTTTGCAAAGTTAAATCTGATGAACAATTAAATAAACACCATACAGTCCTAGGGGAAAAAAAAAAGCCCAAGATATCCTTAAATACTGGATCCCTTGCAGAATAAAGCAAATGTACCAAATTCTTATGCCATGACCCAGAAAGCTGACGTTTAGAAGCCCAAAACAGCATGGACTAGACTTTCCTGTGATTGTTAAAAAGCCTGGGCTTTGGGATTCAGTTACAGTCTGTGTTTTAGTAGTTATGTGATCCTGAACAAATCCCTTAAACCACCCAAAGCCATACTTCACTCTCTGAGAATTCAGGTAATATCAACTATCTCAATGGGCTGTTGTGATGAATAAATGAGAATGTAAGTGATGTGCTTGTTAATAAGGATAGATTACACATCAATTTAATATGTCCCAAATGAAAAATGGTCAGGCTATCCACACATTGTCAAATGAAATTCCCTACACCATAGAGAAATTCTTGAGACATTGCATTGAACTATTTCAATAGAGAATCATCTTCTGTTATTAAAGCTAGTTTCTACTGAACCTTTTATTTAAAATCAGTGGTTATCAACCCTATCAGATTTAACACCTTTTATAAGAAATATTTTTATATCCACAGTACTATATTTAAAAAACTTCATAAACAACCCATCTGTACATATATTTGGGGAGGAAAACTATAATGCCCTACCTATAATAAAGAAAAAATAAAAGAAAAGTCAGTAATAATAAAATACATATTTCATATTGTAAATACTCAGGCATGACTATAAACACAAGAGATAAAGTAGTACCTAGATACAAATCAGTGGTCCTAGAGCCTTCCTGTTAATCCCAGGCTCAAGGATGACAAGCAAGTACCTTGATTCAACATCAAAGTAGCATCATAGCACACTATCAGATGCATTTTGCTCTCCTTTCCAATTTGGTCTATACATTGCACTTGAATCCAGTTTTGGTTTTTTTGTTTGTGTTTTACATGCTCAACAATTGGCGGAACACAACATATGATTTCAGAAACATCCAACAGACCAAAGAATGGCAAACAAACATCAAAATAACCTATTTTTCCAATATTATTTCCTACGATTGCATTCCCCTCCCTGACCTCCCACTGTACACACCCCATTTTCCAGAACCAATGGTTCTCAGCCCTGGCTGTAAAGTATCATCACCTGGGGAGAATTTAAAAGTACTCACCTGGGCCCCATTCCCAGAGATTCTGTTTCAGCTGGTCTGGGAGGGTCAGATTAGGCATCATCTTATTTTAAAAGCTCTTTGGGTGACTCTAATAAATAGAAAAAAATCCCTGAACTCTGCTCCAGACAAATCTGGTGCCTGTCTATTACATATCCTGCCCATGTACATCCCGCAAGGGGAGAACCCTGTGCCATTTATTCAGCCTGTTTCCTTTGCCTGGAACACCTTAGGGAGTCCTGAAGATTTGAGCAAGGGAGTGACATGAAGACTCTGCAGTCCAACAATTTTGGATTTTGAATCCCTGTTCCATTTCTTAGCCAGCCTGTGGCCCTGGAAAATTCTCAGTCTGTTTCCTCATATATAAAAAGTGATTAACAGTGCCTTCCTCACAGAATTGATATGTGGATTAAATGAGATAATTCATTCAAGTATGCTGCTTTCAGGGCTGGCATCATAAGAGTTCCAGTAAGTACTGGCATTCATAATAAGACTCCCTATTTAGAAAAGTGACAATAATACGAGGCATAGCCTGAGGTAAGTGAAGATGGAGGCATTAATGAAGTAGTAGGAGCTACTGTAATCAAACCTAAACTAAAAAAGAGAGCAAAAAAATTGCAAGAAAACAGTATGAATGAAACTTATAGAAACAAAATCAAAAGGATCTAATAATATACTGGAAATGGAGTAACGGGGTAGGAAAATTTTAAATAACTATTTGTTTTTCAATAACATTACTGTGGTAAAATACACATAAAATTTACCAATTAACCATTTTAAGTATATGGTTCAGTGGNACTGCAGAAGCCACGCGCAAGTCCAGGTTATTGCCTGTGCTTCTGACCAACTGGCCATAGATCAGAATTTCCAATGACCTCCTCCTTGTGTTCAATTAATTTGTTAAAGCAGCTTACAGAACGCAGGGAAAAACTTATGTTTACCAGTTTATTAAAGGATACAGATGAATATCCAGATGGAAGAGCTGTGTAGGGCAAGGTATGTGGGATGGAGCACGGAGCTCCCATGCCCTCTCCAGGCGTGCCACATTCCCAGCACCTTCGTGTGTTCACCAATTTGGAAGCTCTACCAAATTCATACCTCTGGGATTTTATGGAGTCTTCATCAAGTAGACATAATGGATTATTAACTCCATTTTCAGCCCTCTCCCTCTTGAGAATGGGGGGCAGGGCTGAAAAGTCCAAGCTTCTAATCATGACTTGGTCTTTCCAGTGACCAGCCCTCATCCAGGAGCCCACCCACAGTTGCTTCATTAGAACAAAAGACATTCCTATCACCCAGAAAATAACAAGGGTTTCGAGAACCCTGTGTCAGAAACTGGGGTCAAAGACCAAACAGAAAAAAAGAGGCTCCTCGTGCTCTTATCACTTAAGAAATTACCAAGATTTTAAGAGGTCTGTCCAAGAAACCAGGACAGAGACCAATATATATTTTCTATTCTTTCACACATACAAGCATCAAACACTTGGAGAGAGTTAAACCCTAAGAACACTAAAGGCAAAATCTAAATGGAAAGTATGGAGACAACCTACAATCTTAAGAGAACCTACAATCTTTAGAGAACCTACAATCTTTAGAGAAAAGAGAGATGGGGTAGGGAAAAGCTGTAAATTGAAGGAGGGAGGTCACTGGCTTATGAGTATGTGTGAATTAACATTGGTAAAACAATTCTTACTGGACTCAGAGTCTCCTGAGCCCAGAATTTCCTGATTGATGCTCATCTAGGAGTCACTACCTGTTGTCCAGATACTTGAGTTAAGAACTTTTTAATTAGGGAAGCAGTAATTTGGTCAGAAATATCTCAATCTCCAATAGCTAATAGGAAATAGAAAAGCTCTGTACAGGACTGAGCTTACAATGAAAACTACAATCT